TATTTTAAGTTAAATATCAACATCACATACGTTACTCTGATCTAAAAGTAAGCAACTAAAACATTTGTGTTATGGAAATGGAAAACAATGACTGTACCACAAACACCCAGACCCGAGACAATATAGAAAAGTGTAAAACTCCAATAATGTTGAAGATACTTTTAATTATTGAACATTGAAATTATCACACAAGTTTATTGTTACATATCAGATTTTGTTTCTAATAAAAAAAACTTACATGGCGCGTGAGACGCGAACGGGAGTCTCCGCCATCTTGCGGTACCAAGCGTGAGATGTCGAGCGCAGCAAAATTTTACCCGCTTTGCGTACGGGTTATTACGACCCAATAATAATGTTGCAAAAGTTAGTTTCTCTGCATTGCCCCGGTGAATAGAATCCGAGTCCTCAGAGATATAACGACGCTAAGATTCAGAGCAGTCCTTTTTCATTGTAATAGTTTGATAAAAATGGCTAAGTCTGACTAATTGCATTTTTAATTGTTATGTGACGCAGCCTGTTGCTGATATATATTTCTGTCTTCTTAAGGAAGCCTGCGTTGCGGATTGAATATATCATTAATTTAGTTTTTGAATGAATAAATTTGATTATTTTCATTGACAGATTCATTTACGTTGAAAAATCGTAACGAAAAATGTGTATCTATGGAAGGCCACAGCTCTAAATATTGGTAGTGAGATCACTCAAGATATCCTATTCGTGGTGATTAAAATAATTTTGAATTGACAGAGTGTAATAAATAAACGTCTTGATTGTTTCGTTTGCTATAGTGATAATTATATATTTACACTAACTCTAAATTCGTTTAAAGAACAATGGCAAAATCATAGTTAAAAGAATTCATTAGCGTCTTCAAATGCCTTAATTACAAGTTTGAATAAAATAAATTCATTAGGTTTCTCAAATTATAATAGCGGCCTGTCTGAGTCTGGAGATAAAATCATATTTAAAAGAAACTCTAATGGCTAATTAGTATATAACCGGACTGATATCTACAACTATCAGTTTCTTAATTTCTTAACGTCGAGCAACATCTAGCCGCCAAAAAAAATTCAGTACCTAAATATGGATATGGACCACATTTAGTTCACGTAATATCAAATGTACTGATTCGACCGATTTGTAATAAGCTAATAAAAGATTTTTTAATACAGTTGCTCAAAACGTGGTATTTTTCGCACTACAAATCGTGCGGGTAGTTGGATTTCTCGCACTAGTGCTTTTACTTTTCCAGTTTTTTTTAATTTACTGTTGTTTTAAGTCTTAAACATAGAACTAAAGAGATTGTATATTTATTTCATATGTATGTGCTTTGTGACGTAAGTCATTCGTCATTACTATACTATATCTATGGAGAGACCGCATTTTTACACCTATGAAGTAAATGCTCCTTAGTAGCGATTATGTAGAAAATAAAGTAATATAAAATAGTAATTTTAATGTGGCTGAATACTGGCAACAGTTGCCATATTGAAAAAAGTCGGCCAAAAAAAGTACTAATTTTTTTCATCGTTTACATTCCCGCCTTTTTTATTAACTTTTTTATTTCGATTTGATTTTGTTATTGACACAGGGATAAAATGAGTTTTTTTTTAAATACTGTTTTATTTTACTTTCAATGTAGGTTTTTCGCAAATGTATTAAAAAACGTTGTTTGATACACATACGAATTTGTCATTTTCACTTGTCTCGAGTCTTGACCCTCGCCTCTAGCTCGGGCCAAGATGCCTCGAGACTCGTGAATAATGACTAACTTTCCGCACTTGTATCAAAAATAACTAAACTACTTCATTACAAAAAATAAAGTCATTAATTTCTTCTCCAAAATGCCACGCGGGAAAATGGTAAAACTTACAAAAAAGTTCCCAATACGAGGGATAGATGGCACTTTCACAAAAAAATAATTTGTGTCCGAATTACCAATGCAATAGTTTGTGGTATGTTATTAATTACCTCAGTTGTTATGGCTTAACTTCATACCTTTTGACCATACCAATATACAAAATAATTTCCTCTGAACTTTCGTCACGTCACAAACCCACTGAACCATTGAGCTTCTATTAACTCTGTTTAAGGCTTCTGTCCAAAACTTCAAACTGGAATATCTTTAATTCGTGACTTCTCAGAATAGTAAACCCAAAACAAAATTTGTTCAGGAATTTCAACTCTAAATTTCCATATATTTTTCATAAGCAGACGCGTAAAAATTTATGTCAACAAAAATTTATACGGGAGTTTGCCATTTCTTTCTCTGCCTGTGCTTTGTACATAATAAAGCACTCCTTACGCTCTTATCAGTATGGTCGGTAGTCGGTACGTATGTCATTTGAAGTTTACAATTTAATAATTGCTATTTATGTAATAAATGTTCTATATAGTGAATAAGGTGCTTTCTGATTTATATTTATAATATTAATCGAAAAGATATCCGTCTCTACACGCTACGGTATCTCCAGCGTCAAATACTTGCCAGGTGAAACTTGAATCCAAAAAAATAATAGACTGGGAAACACAAGGGTAGCTATCTTCCCAACGAATTAGCATAGCTATAAATAATTTTAATAGCAGTACACCTCTTTGTGAAAGAGTTCGTCCAGTGAAGAACTGCCACCTTACCTATTTCTACCGCCAAGCAGTAATGTCAACATTACTGTGTTCTGGTTTTGAAGGGTAAGGGTGCTCGTGAAATTCTAGGCACATGGGACTTGTCAACTTATGTCTCTGGGCGACAGGCGCAGTGGCAGTGCCCCTAAGATCTTTACGATTTAAAGCTCTGAGTAGCACTGCAACTGTTATGAACAGTCCCATATCTTTCTACATAAGTTTTGTTTATAGTGTCCCTCCCTATGAACTTGGTTATGCGGGAAGGGCACTATGACCTATGCGAGCGAACCCGCACAGGAACCATGTACGTCAGGTTCTAACCACGGATCAGCACGTTTGCACGGACTTCATCCGGTTCTCTGTAAGGCAACTGTTATGGACAGGCGTGTAGCTTACCATTAGACACTCGACGTGTTCGTCCCGTCACTTGATATTAGAAGAAAAAATAGGGACCGCTGCCAGCATCTTGGGCACCTTGCCTCGGAGACTCAATTTTATTCATGTAGTTTAGTTTTGGTTTCTAGTATTTAAGCTTTTTTGTATATTACCTGCATATTTTAACTTATTGTCTAATAAAGTCACTTTAAGCAATTATTTTATTTTAAATGTCGTATGTTTTGTGTTGAAGAATAGTCTTTTTATTACATTCATTTTAAAATATGTTTAAATCGCAAATTGTTGCGTCAAAACTTAATATACCCTGGTTTTTTATTGTTGTCCAATATTCCCTCGCATGAAAAACATTTGTTCACGGCAGAACATAATAATGGTTTTGTCCACCGTTATCCGTGACTATGCCCGCTTTTGTATCATTATAATGGTAGGAAAAAATTGGTTTCTGCATAACAAATTTCAGGCATCACAATATTTTATTGTATGACACAGCTGTATATTATATAACTAGTCATAATATAAGCAAGAGGTACGTATAATCGTTTGACGACCTCCGTGGTCGAGTGGCTTGTACACTGGTTTTTATGATATCGCCATGTCTGAGGTTCCGGGTTCGATACCCAGGCGGGTCAATGTAGAAACACTAACTTTTCTATGTTTTCTCTGGTCTGTGTGATTATGGTATCATCGTTTGTGTCCAATTTTCATAACACAAATGCTTTAGTTACTTACTTTGGTATCGCAGCATCGTATGTGATAATGTCTTCTCTTTTTATATTTATTTAATAATTAAATATAAAGACAAGAAATATATAACTAATGTAGATACATATATATCTTTCAAGATACTTACGCTTTTCATTTTAGTGGCGTAGATTTCCACGTTAAAAATCGGTAAATCTATATATTAGGGGTTAAAGTATGAAATTGCCGTTTTATTGCAA